GGACTATGTGTAATTTTGCAATTGCAATGTACATTTTAAATCAGTAGTTCTTTCACCAAATATTTTCTTGTGAATGAATACTCATTCCCCTGGTAGATGAGGCAGACGCCGAACAAAATTTCGCATTGCGATGATTAGATTCATTTGTAAATAGTCAATTGAAAAATTACCCATAGTCATGAAGGTGCCTTTCTTTTCATACTGATGAAACATACGAGCAAGCGAGCATCATGTCAAAGTTTCTGAGACACTACGCAATTGTAGGTTAAAGTGCTCCACAACGAGAAACAGAGAGGAGGAGGGGAGAAATATATTTTCTGGGTGTGGGGTGTCGGGTTGTGCAGGTGTGAGTATATGAGTTTGGATGCGAGAGTTCCTCGCATTCACATCGCCCCTAAGCCCATAGCCATAGTCACACCACGACCACATTGACACCCACACCCTAGTTTATTTTGAAGCGAAATATGATATGTGATACGTTTAAAAAGTCTTTACTGTGCTTCAATGATCGTGATCATAAAATATCTATCATTTTTCAACGTATCTCTAGGTAAAATTAAGAGCTCCTATGACAGCATCAATAGTAACCTCAGTACACGAAACACCTATCAAAGTTGATGTTTTTGGCGCTATGTGTGCATTCAATAAATCAACATTTGAAACCACCAACCCGAAATCTATAACTTATTTGGATTTGCTATAGAAAAGCTAGCTAATATCCCTTGTGAACACTACCTACCTAATACGACGAAGATAGTCAGCAATTGTTGGACAAATGTCCACCAGGATTATACTTCAATAAGTTACGGCATTTTTATTTTTTATACAATATACCAAAAGACACATCATCAGCCACTGAAAAATACGAGGTATTTAAAACATTGTATATAACCTCTTTATTGAGGTTATACAACTGAATAATGATGGGAACTAACACAATTTGAGTTTATGACAGTTGAGTTTTGCCAGTATATCCGCTGTCTATGTAAATCAGGAGGCTCCGTGTTGAATTTTTGATTTTGTACAAATGATAAAACATATTAGAAAAACGATTTCTGCTTGATCCGAAAACTGGCTAACACTTTGTGACCTACTGAATACCGTCGAGAAAAATAATTCTGGGCACTTTTAAATGAAAACTTCGATCTTGGAAAAATTAGAGCCTTATTCTGGACACAATGGTATGGACAATTTCCTCCGCCTGCCAGAAAAAAAGAAAACAAAATTTCGACCGCTGTACACAGCTGAAGAAGCACAGAGGGATTTCAAAAAAACCATTTTCGTATATTTCAGTAGTGATCATTTTGAACGATAGGATTTTGGATTCTAATTTTTCAAACGTCTTTTCTGAACAGGTGTCCATAAAAATAATCTCATTTTCTTGATATACCGAATTCTAGAAAGAAGAATTGAAACTTATCAGCAAAGGATTTTATCTTCAATCGTTTAGTGTTATTCAAGAAGCCATCGGAATCCTTATATTTGTTCAAATTCTTAAATTTCATTTTCGATAGCACGTAGCAAATGAATATTTTAATTGTGCTGGAAAAAAGACATTTTTCAGAAAGTCAGCTCTCATACGTCGGTCTCACCGTCTTAATTTTATGATAAAACAGTCGCTAGAAGGAACAATAATGGATGGTGCATAAAGAATGACTCACTTTTGTAACACTTTTTTCTTGATGCATTTAATCATTAAAAATATTCAACATAAGCGTATTCATTCAATAGAGAATTAAGTTTTCTATAAAACTTAATATTTACTTGTTGGATAGTATGCTCTCTCGTTATATAATTTTTGAAATGTAGGTTTCATCAATTTTTCAAACTCTGCTAGATCATCT